ATGTAGAGAGATAAATGTGTTGACAGGAGAGTGAGGGCAGCTCCCTTACTCCGTACAGTGTTGCATGCAGAGCCCCAGGTCAAGACACGCATCCGTCTAACTTTTATCAGTTAAAGTGATACAGCCCTGAGAGCCCCATAGGCACAGCAGGAGACTTCTAAAGCTTGATGTCTTTTTTTCCTCAAGCATTAACAAAAGGTAGCAAGGGCTTCCTTTAATGTGTTATATCTGCCTGTCATGTCAGCTCCCTCCATCTCTTTCTTTTTTCCCACCTTTTATTATTCTTTAACCTCCTGATCATAATCATACTGAAAACTCATTGCGCTTTTTCTGTTTTTTTGTATGATTTTCCACTAATACTCTCCCTCCCCCTCACCGCAGCATGGTAATGTTCTCCGAAATTACAGTGAGGTAAACAGAGCAGGGGAGTGGAAATGAAATAACTGCTACAGGGCTGTCAGGTCTGGCAAGGGAGCCATCCGTCAGCAGGAAATGACACGTCGTTCACCCCCCACCCCCATCCTGTCACACACACACACACACACACACACACACACACACACTTGATTCCTCTTCTCCTCCTGGTGGCAAGGTGAAGGAATTATGCTCATCAAAGCCTGAGCGCAGCCTGGAGCCTTTCCATTAACCTTATACAACACTGGTCAATGGCGAGGGGATGGACACATGCAGCAAGGGGGGCTTTTAAAACCATACGCGCTAACACACACACGCACAAGCATACAGTATACACTGTAAACTGTACCTTTAATGGAACAAAAGCCCCATACATAATCGCATCGAGATCAGATACACACACACCCGCGCGCGCGCGCACACACACACACACCTCAATTACCTTTTCATTCATAGCCTGACAGCAGTGCATGTGCAAGATCTGACATTAAAGGAAATTAAATCTCCTTGTGGAATGGGCCAGCCCATCTCACCTCGCTGTCAAAATACTCCTATTTCCACTCCTCTCCCCTAACCTTCTCATCTGGGTATTTAGAGCTTTGTGGTGCGGAACGTCATCAAAGAGGAAAAGTTAGTGAGGCAGCCGCGCTTAAAGGAGGCCTCCCTGCGATAATACCCGCGCAAACGGAGCCCCTCTACAATTAGCCCACGCACCCAAATTACTGCTTCACATTCTGATGCTTTCACGCACTGCACAAACTGCACACACACACACACACACACACACACACTGACTTATCATTGGCTTAGCCCAGTGAGTGAGTCACTAAGTCAGTTAACTCTTTGATCCAGACCTCCTTTCTGCTTTCAGATATGAAGCCTATCTGACATAATCCTGAAAAACATTGGCTCACGCAACCAATGAGACTCAAAGAAAAGTGCAGCTGCAAGGCTACACACTCTCAAGGGACTTAGCTGGTAGAGTGACACATGTACAGTAGATTTTTTTTTTTTTTTTTTTTACAGGCAGATTTAATTAAGCCTCATTGAGATGACTGATCCTGCATCATACGAACTCATGTGATCTTTTTTTCTCACGCGTCCAAATGCAGCAAACCTGCAGAGGAAGGAGTTTGCCTGATAATTCACTTCATATTTGAAGGGGGGAGGGGAAATGCTGGGATCCTGGGCACCAGCCTTTTCCCGAAGGTTTTAATCGGATCAAATATGGCTTGTCAGATACATAAGCTAATTAATCGGGGGAGAGACCAATCCCCTCTTTTAGCAAATGGAAATACGGAGGCAGGACATTGGCGGAGACACTTCCTCTCCTCCTTCAACTTTTCTCAATCAAGATGCAGAAAGAGACCAGCTGAGAAAAGATTGCCTGTTGTGAATCATAGTCTTTAAGGATTCTGTCTTTAGAGAAAAGACATTCATACTGCCTGACGTTTTTCCACAACCTCAAGCTGAGAAGATGATAGATTCTTGATTTTAAGACTAACCGGAGCTGCTGTTTACAGAACTTATGTATATAAAATATCTTCTTTGACACTAAATCAGCTATTAAAGCAATATTTCTTGACATGAAAACAAACTCGACTGCTGTGCACGCCTTTTACGTTAATTTCTCGTAGCCAATGCTCTTGTGTAAGATTTTGTGCCTGAAATTAAATTTTTAGACCATTTCTTTTCTATTAATATCTTCAGCTTCTGAATATGTATAGAGTAAAGCACATTTATTATCATCACTACAAAAGATGTGTAAATTGTCTTAAACGCAGTTCATCTGTTATTGCTTTGGAATAATCTTACAGTAAAAAAATATATATGGCAATATTTTTCTGTTGTAAAATTTCCATACTAAGAAATTATTGTTTTAATAATCCTTGATACCAAAATAATTGGAAGCATGATCAATTTTAGCAAAATAAATTTTCCATACCCAAATGGTTGTAAGTCTTCAAAAACAGTTAAAAGTTTACTAAAGGAAAAAGAGACATCTGAGTCTCTAATTCATTCTCTAAGACATTGTCCAACAATCACAAATGTAAATTTTGGGACTTAGATAAATGTTAGGACTTTAGCTAAAACTGTGTGCTTTGGTCAGAGGAGAAGAAATTTAGATTAAAAAAAAAAAAAAAAAAAGAAAACACTGTGAAACAAAAAACTAAGACATATAAAAACTCCTCATTGTTAATGTCTGGCAACCTTTGATGCATTTGGCCCATTTCTCTACCAAACATCCTGGAAACTTTAGGACAGCACAATATATCAAATACTCTTTACAGTGTCGAGATATTTTAAATGTATTTTTAAAAAATGGAAAGCAATGATCATTGGCATAATTATCCACAACATATTGCCTAATCTTCAGAGAAACGTTTTCATCAGACACAAATATTTTTTATTGTGGTGTTTGCTCCCATAATCTTTCTCCCAACTATAGTGCATCGTACACACTAGATTTTTTTTTGTAAATTTTTCACACATTTTACCACGATCATATAAAATGATATGCTGTTTGAAGGGATTAAAGTTTACAATCCGTAAAGAATATTTTTAGACTTATTCAGGTCGTTTAGACAAAAAAGTTGCTTTATTCTAAAGATTTCAGATGTTTTTTTTTTTTTAATTATTTTTCATGTTCTAATAAATTTAACCTTCAAACAAATAACTCAAATTCAAAATAAAAGAGGACATGGCACAATGTGGCTGCCGAAGTGGGTGTAAAGCTCATTAAAACCTCATCAAGTCTTTGCTCTCATTTTATTTTCCTGGCTTGTAACCACGCCATAGTTGGCCGTCTGTAGCGCTGCATTGGCCCCTGGCATATTTAACTCATGATGGTCTCAACTGCAGTTCAATAAGGGGTTCAGCGATGTATCTCGCATACAGGGAAACTCTGGACGGCTGCCTGATCGGATGAGTCACTTACTACCTGGAGGAAGGATGCTAAGCTAATGTGCTTACAGCCTACAACATCATAAATCCATAATTAGCACTGAGGATGGCATTTCATGCTTAATTTAAGCACTGAGTGATTTGAAACGTAGATGGTATAGTGAGTTACATTGTGACTGCCTGACTCAGTGGATGATTGACTGGTTGGGCGGTCTCAAGCTGTTTCATGGGGGAAACTTGCAACTACCTCAGGCTAAGCCCACCACCAGCTGCGCAGCTTCTCCCAGCAAAGAGCTGCTTCTGGAAATATTGAAATCTCTGTCGCTCAATAATACAGTTCGCCCTTTTCTCTGATTTGAACTCTAAACTTAACCATTTAAACAACTGCTCTTGTAAATATATGCGTTGTGTGAGACGCCAATACAGGCTTGACTGTCGTACCTGCCACTCCCGTGAATCCCGTAAAATGATCACACACATGCGCTCAGAGCTTGACGTCTGTGAATTATCGATGTAGTCACCGAGCATTTGATCCGATAAATGTGTTTGTGTCAGAGGACAAATGCTTTTTAACCAGAGTTTGGTTATAGTTTGCCATATTTCAACCTATCTAGTGATTATCCATTACAATTATGTCATCGACTGACCGATTTCCATTTTTTTTCCTCTCCCCTGTGTCGCACTTTCCCCTTTCTGTCGTTGGCAGCAACAAGAGCAGGACCCCACAAACCTGTACATCTCCAACCTGCCAGTGTCGATGGATGAACAGGAGCTGGAGAACATGCTGAAGCCCCTGGGTCACGTCATCTCTACAAGGATACTTAGAGATGCCAATGGGGTCAGCAGAGGAGTCGGCTTCGCCAGGTAAATAAAGACCATAAATCAATGGGCAAAAATTGACTTGTTTGTCCTTGCATGTTATAGGAGAAACAGTTATCCTAAAAAAAATCCATAAATTCCCGTGACTTGAGCTCTACATTGAAAATGTTATGTCTCTGGAGTAAGTGGAGGTATCTAGATGGCACATACTTATCAAAGTAATGGTTCTTTAAATTCTGAGAAGTCCCCAGTAGAGCCATAAAAGAAATTGCACAACTGTTGTCTTGGGTTGAAACTGTTACTGAGGATTTAAATAAACGTGGGTATCCAACACACAACGAGAATCTGTGTCGACATCAGAAAAATGCTGTTAATCTCTACAACTCTTGCAGGAAGTCCAAGACCAACAGCTTAAAATGCTACGATCAACATTCAGCTGTGTTGATCACAGCAGCGGAGTATAACTGGAAGCCATACTTTTCAGATTCTCATTTGTAAAAATAAAAAAGGGCAAACATATTTACGTTAAACTTCACAATTGTACACTGTTTGTGCCAGCTTTTTAACATATAGCTCTCAATAAAATAAAGTTTGTAGTTGTAAACTGATACATTGTGAAAGGTTTCAAAAGGAGTGGATACTTTTATAAAGCAAACGCAGTGTCCATGTGTTTCACAAGCACGGATAGTGGCTATTGCATCACTGTAAAGTCACTGCTGCTGTTTTTCTAGAGCCAAGCCTGTCATTTAACAGTTTTTTTTTTCCATTTTCTACTTTGGAAAGTTTCTTCTACAGCTTATTAATCCCCCAAAGTCATAAACCACTCTGTCCTTGTCCTCGACAGCAGCCACCAGGCTCTCATTCCTCCCTGTTTACCCAGAGGAGGCCGGTGACGGCCACACCACCGCCATCTTGCAGGGATTTTTCTTAATCACCTGCTCTGGCTAAACTCCTCTCCTATTCCCTGCTCTATTACTGAAAGGTTAAAGCAGGATAGATGAACGCATACACACCAAATAAACAACTGCACAAATAAGCATATGCGCAGATAGATCCCGCATGCAAGTCGTTGTGCACATGTAACAACACACATTAAAAACTAGCCTCTTAGTTGCGCTCCCTCAAACAGGCAGCCCTCCTGCAGACCAGCAAACAGAGCACAGCAACAACCTGCCACAGGCCACCTGTTCAAGCAGCCTCAGTGGCTGCAGGGACAGACATGATGGAAAGGGAATCTGAGAAAGCGGCTACATGAGAGGGACGCGGGTGTGACGCATCGGTCTCAGAGAAACAAGTAACTTTAGAGGTCACTATGAAGAGACAAAATGTTTTTTTTTTTTGTTTGTTTGTTTTTTTTTTTACTGAGATGATCAGAAATCTTTACAGAAAGCGAAAAGACTGAAAGAGGCAAAGTTTAAAAAATTATTATACAGGCACGAATGGCTGAAGAAATGATCGATTATAGTAAAAAAACAAAAAACAAAAAGTGTCCGTAAAAGAAGCTAGAAGGACAACTGTCCACAGAAGACAAAACAGATCAATGGACTACATAAAATGTAGACCTCCCATTAGCTGTGTCAACAGACAGACAGACAGGCAGCTGCTGAGGGCTGGACTGTGAGGGGCATTAGAGAGAGTAAACTGAGCTAAGTGTTTGTGGGCTGATCCATTACTGTTATCAGAGCCCATTACTCCAGCCCCAGCACTAATCATTGCAGACAGCAGCACCTGATGCCATTAACCAGCAGCATACTCAGAAAAGCCAAACCTGCCTCCCCGTCTACCTGCCTGACTCTGCAGCTGACTGACCAACGCTCAGCCTGGCTCACTGGTTTGTTTCTCAGTGGCTGCTTTCCAGTCTGCCTGCCTCATTTGCTCCTAGTATTCTGGGCTGATTTCTACCTGCTGTGGTGATGGAGAGACAATGACGAGAGATGGAGTTTTTACAAAACAAACAAAAAAAAGTCATTTTTAGAAAAGGAACAAAGGGGTGTGCTCTGCATTAGCAATTCTTACCATTTAAAAAAAAAAGGAAATATGCTAAAATATTATTTTTTTAACAGTCATCCACTTTTTAGATGCAGGAGTAACGCGCTTAGAATTAGTCCCAAATAATCTCAGTGCTGTTTTTACAATACCATTCACTTAACCCAGGAAAATACTACAATAAAATGATTACTCACCTCCACTGGCTCATATTTGGGACAGGTTGGTGAGTGGTACATGCTGCTGCGCCCTGGCAACCCGGTGGTAGGAGATGCCAAGCAGATGACGACAACTGACCGGTTCATAGTTATAGTCAGTTTACCATAGCAACTAATCTCGTTATTAGCCAATGTTTATGTCTACGATAGTTCATAATAAACTATTAATATTGGTTGTGATAGGAATTAACCAACTAATACCTAAAATCAAAAACTCAGTTGTTATTTATGTTGTGTGTACATCAGCTGTGGGTGTGTATGTTGGGGTAAAAATAAGGCAAAGGATTCTCAGAAATGGTCAATCTGGTCTTGCAACAAGATGGCTCCTGTGACAAAAAAAAAAAAAAAAAAAAAAAAAAAATTAGTCCTAAGATGGGGGATCTAATGAACCACATGTTGCATGATAGACTATGTTCTCTGTTACCCACAAGTATTCCAACACACATGGTACACAGGAGAGTGGATGTTGGAGAGAGTGATGTATTTGAATCTCTCTTGAGATCCAGTCCTGGTTCATGACAGGCTGTGAATTACTTTCCTTCAGTGATGTGACAGGTGGAACAAATGAGGCTCAGTTCACATGCAAAACCTAATGCTAACACATTTATCACACAAAAAATGAACCATAAAAATAAATCATGAAACATGAAAATAAATCAAATCAAAGAAAACCTGTTGAATTAATGATGGGTCTTAGTCTTATGCTTAGCTATATATTATCGCGCTAATGCTATCTTGCACCTGGTTTGTCATTGTTGTCTTTAAGACAGATTTTTCCTCTCTTGATGTAAATGTTCTTATGGAAGAAGAAGAGCTCAGCACAACTTTTCTTGTCTGGTGTTGTGTTTTCTTCTCTTTTGGTTCTGTGGTGTCTGAGGAAGAAATCTGGTCAATTGTTGTCCCGGAAGAGTTAACCTCTGGGTTAACTTAGTCTGGTCACTGCGTTTCCCCCATCCGGCTAGAGCTTGATTTGCGTGGTTACTAAAGGAATGGTCTCAAACCTTTGCTGCTGGTTTGAAATTGAAACAAAGAGATGACTGCACTACTTCAGGCATGTCTTAGTTTCTGAAAGCTGATTCAGGAAATTTAAGGTTTGCAGTGGAATTCAGGAGCAATTTCTACCATTGGAGGATACTGGAGCCACATTTTTGTCCCATGAAGAGAAGTAGGGCAAAATGAAAAATGGTCTCCCTTAGCAAGCAAGGTTGGATCTAAAGACAGTTGGTAAAGGGACGTTAGAGGCCCTCCTCATTGTTGGGATATTTGAAAGAGAAGAAGATGAGAACCTAAATCCTTTCTTTACGTTCACAGAGCTCTGGGTGTGACTGTGTCCATTGTAAAGCATGGAGGATGATATGTGATGACGTAGGCCTGTTTCTCTCTTTACCATCCTGGAAAACGTGTGGAATTAAAGGACTTTTAGATACATTTAAAGACACATTTATCCATGAGTCAGTCTATGTAAGTAGACTATTCAAACTAGGTACTGAGAGTTCTTTGTTTACTGCTAATCTAAACACACTCTTTGAAAAGGTTTGAGCTAATTGCTTGATTCTGAGTGCCAGCTCAAGGCTACCAACCATATTTATTGATCAGCTAAGCCGCATTGACCTCTTAGTAGCAGTCAGGGCAAAGTGGAAAAATAAAGAAAGATGTGAAAGAGGGTGGTTACAGGGTCAATAGGAAATCATACCAGGAAGTGTGAAAGATAATTTATTTTGAAAGATAATGGTAATAAGCGAGAGAAAAGAGAGACAGATGTTGATGTTAAGTGGCTGCTATACGGAAAGAAAGGAATGCGCAGATAAAGAAAAGAAGGGCACGGATAGTAAGAGAGAGCAGGCGGAAAAAAAAGAATGAGCATAATGGTGAACGATGGAGAAAATAACCAAGGTTGAAAGACGGGGAGGAATGAGAGAGAGATGTCAAAAAGAAAGGGTGTAGATGGGCTGGGAGTAAGATGGATGGGACGGTAAGAGCGATAAAGAAGCTATGGTTTAAAAAAAAAAAAAAGAATGAGGGTTGCGATAGGGGAGGGATGAGAGACAAAGGACAGAGAAGTGAGAGGCTGACAGGATGATATGAGTATTTCAGGAGGTGTGGGTGAAAAAAGCATGAAAATGTGGAATGCAATGAATTCTGCACATTCCGGGAGCATATTATAATAAAGGCACTGCAGTCGCTGGGGCCTGCATTGAAAAACAATCTCATTTTGATATCGGGCTTTTCTGTGTAAGGAAATCTGAAATGTATTTACTGCAAAGGTTTTGCAAATTCATGCATATAAATGTTTGTTTTTAATATGTTACTGTGACCTAACTTTATTTGGCTTTTTGATAGCAATTCCTTATGCACAGAAAAGCAAATCCAACTGTTTGACTGGAGTTGCTGGCTTTTCCTGTAGCGTCTTTAAATTTAAATAGACTTTGGAGGTTGTGGTGTAAGAATTAAAATCCATCTATTCCCACTCATTGTATTATAATATAATCCGTTTTTGTGATGTGTCTAAGCACACCAGAGGCTGGGAACGTTTTGATTTGGCTGAGTTTGAATTCAAGATTTTGTGCAAGACTTGCGGCAGGAAAAAGCCTTTGTCACATCTACATGAAGTCCATGCTGACCAGCATTTTTAGCATTCAAACCATTTTGTCCCCAAACTCTTGCCAGCTTTGTTTATTTCAGTGCGTTATATTACAGGAACTCTCCATGCACCAACAACAATGGTATCCTTCCTACTTATAATCTGCATAAGAGCCTCATTTTTAAATTGTATCGTGTGTTGTACACACCAAGCTTTCTACACACACATCAACAAGCACGTTAAGGTTAGATCACCCTGATGGAATCGAGGTGATCTAATGTGACTCCACTGCAGTGAGTAAAATGTCAGATAAAATGGAGAACAGAGTTGGCAGGAGTGGGAGGCCACTGTTCGCACAACCAGTTGGTTGTGGAACCTCCTAAGTACAGGATACAAGCAGCGATTTATTCTGAATTAGAGTCGGACAGAAGCTGGATTTTCTCCTGGGGCAATTCAGATCCCAGCTGTTGTAACTGGCCCTTGAGTGCTCGCAAATCAGTATTGTGTCAGAGTTGACATTCAACTTGATCCTAGTTTTGTTCATTTGGAGATTAAATAGGGGCCTGGTTGGAAACAGAAGGATACAGGCATTGCATAGATACTTTTTTTGTTTGTTTGTTTTTTTTCCACCAGGGAACAACCCTTTAACATTTGGAAGACCTCTCTAATCAGGTTTTCTCTGGTTTTCATCAGTTCGTAGTCTATTTTCTGAGATCCTGGTTGGAAGCGAGTCAGCTCTTTGTGAGATTTACAAGAGACACCAATGGAGGGAACATCCAGATATTCTCATCATGCTCCGCCAGTGCGGCTTGCGTACCCCTTTCCTGCCTGTCCATCTAGTGAATGTCTGCTCACTGGACTGCAAAACGGAGAAGCTGCTCTCCTTTACGAAAAGGTGACTCCGTTAATATATATGAAACAAAACACTTCTGATGCCGGGCTTCCAGTTGTTTCATCTCAGAGTCAAAAAGAGAGGCGGAGGAAACTGCTAAATGAAGGTTGGTGTACTAATGTCACTGTATTACAGACATATTCCTCACCTGGAGTCATTTTTTTTATGAACTGTAATCCCTTTTATTTGCCAAGGGAGTTTTCCTCATTTGTTCTGGTCGATGTTTACATCCCACCACAGGCCTGAACATCGGAAGCTGAAAAACAGATCACTGAGCTGATAACAGGTCTGGAGAAAAAAGCAGCCAGACTCTCCCTTCATTGCTCTTTGGGATGTTACCAGCACGCACCTTTCTAATAAACTACCAAAATAGAAAAGGCATGTAAAGTGTCCCACCAGAGAGACAAACAAACTGGACCACTGCTACGCAGTCTTAAAGAAGCACAACATGCTGTCTGTGCAACATTAGGACGCTCTGATCTTCGTCTGCTTCATTTCATCCCAAAATACAAGCAGGAACTGAAAACGTCTAAATCTCTTAGGACTGTTGAGAAAGACTGATGTGTTAAAGTGGATGATACAGGCCTGTTTTACGTACGTTTTTGTGAGGCGTGTGTACTGACTTTCCGCACATACAGCAACAACAAATCATGGTTCACTTCACATCTGAGGAAGTTGCTTTGGACTAAAGAAAATGACTGCAGTGATTTGGACCAGGCCTTACATAGACAAGAAACGAATTAACCAAGGAAGTCAGTGCAGCAAAGAGAAACTGTCCGACGTGTTTTCAAAACCATCACCTTTCTACATCCGACCATCATCCCGGTCCCTGAGAAACGAAAAATCACAGGTGAAATGACTCCAGATCTGTCGCCCTGAGGTCTGGCGGATGATGTTACCAGCTTGGCATGACACTTCATGTTGCACCACTTTGACCATCAAGAGATGTAACGCCAGGATCTTGTTTGTGGACTACATGTTAGGCCTTTGACTCCATTAACCCAAATGTCCACCAGAATTTGGTTGACTCGTCAGTAGATCGTCTGCTTCCACCAGGAGTTTGTTTCTCTCACCACTTCTCTTTTCTCTGCACAGTGAAACTACAGAAGCCCTTGTAAAATTCATTTTTGTGACATTGTCTAGTGAAATGGTAGGGGTAAAAAAAAAAAAAAAACAGGGGGGGTTAAGCAAAGATTTAGGAAACAAATGTTACAGAATTTCTTTTGTTCCACAGAGAAGCGAATTGATCATTTATTGATCAGTTTTTGACTTGCAGGAATAAGAAAATTTTTCTCACATTGAAAAGAATGATTTGTATAAATAATAGAGCAACTTTTAAAGCAAAGCCATCCTAAACAAATCTTAAGCAACAAAATCATTCAATTGCCAACTTTTAAGTGGATACAAAATGGTAATGAGCTGTGATGCAGCTCACAAAGGAGGAGAGAAGTAAACAAGTTTACTTTGATCAATATATATTTTTTGTCATTATTGCTTTGATTTTTTAAAAAAAAAACACTTGATACAAAATATTACATTCTCTGAACTTGTAAGTAATGTCTTATCTCTTGGATATTGAATGATTCATATCCAAACACTGCATAAAACTGTCTTTTAAAACATGCATGAGGTTGAAACTGGACATTTATCGTAACACGACAGTTCGGTGACAGGTGATGTCTTTTTTTCTCTGCATGCAAACAAGCTGTGCGTTTGTGCAAAATGTGTTTGATTTACTAATACACATGTTTTATGTAATGTCTAACAGAAGAGTGTATGGGCATGTGTTGTGAAAGATCAGAGCCCTCCCACTGGCCAGCTGTTTGACTTCTTCTCAGACTTTGATCGAGTGGCTGGGAGAGAGAAGATGGGTTATTCAGCTTGATGTCTTTTCTCTCTCAGTACACAATACATGAACTATTGTTTTCACAACATTTTTACACGTTGCCCATAAGTAATCCTGCATTTTCTGTTACGCCCGTGAAGGCTTTTAAGTATCACTTTTGGTCCTCGTTTGCCTTTAAGTTTCGATTATGCAGCACACAGGCTGCATAACAGCCTTTTCCATTAAAGGCCTGAATTTCATTATCAGCGTCTTACGCATGCAGACAATAATGTTCCACAGTAGAGAGACAGGCAAACTCTTGATGGTCTCACTGGAGACCATCTGTCTTTTTTGAAAGAACAGACTGATTCTACTCTGCCAAAGGGAATGCGGTCGTCAAGTAGAGTGCTTTGCAGAAACAAGGACAGGTCTTTCTAAAAAAAAGAAAAGAAGTCGCATGTTTTTGTAATAAGTTTGAGGTTACTACAGAATTACATAGCAGTCATGTTGAAATTGAAGCTTATTTAAATTTTGAAATTAATGTTTTTCAATTGCAGGATGGAGTCAACAGAGAAGTGTGAAGTTGTGATACAGCATTTCAATGGAAAATACCTGAAAACTCCACCAGGAATCCCAGGTGAGTTTTCTTTCCTTTTGCCTTTCCTAACTCTTGAGCATTAACATTTCTTTCAGTTGTAAAAAAAAAAAAATGCCACCCTTTCAAAAACGACTCCAATATTTAATTCAGTTGCTGTAATTTAATATCTAGATCAGACGAATAGCGGGGTACACACAGTGGTTTCTGACACCAAACCTGATCATCGTGGCATTTCCTCAATAGCTGGTGATTCTGTACGGCTCTTTTCCTCTGCCTCTCTCAATTTCTGTGCCACCGCCTCTTTCTCTCTCTGGTGGTGCACTTGCTGCAGGCTGGGACTTCTTGGTCAGGAGAAAACCCTCTTAATATTCACACTCATGCCTCTGTGCTGTTCTTTGCAATCTACTTAAGAGCTTGCACTCTCGCCTCTTTTCACTTCTGCTCCTTCTTTCTGTTGCAGTGTCCTCTTCCCTTCCCGCTCTGCTTTTCCGGAGTCACCCTGTAGAGAGCAGTCAAGGAGAAACGAAGCATAAGTTAGGTGTGTTAGCACAGAGATTTCTTAAGTGTCCAAAGAAGGATTGGAATTTAAGGAAACAATGCAAGGAGAATAAAGATACTGAAGTGTCAAACAAGAAGGATTGGAATTTATGGAAACAATGCAAGTATTCAGGCTTGGAAAGGCTTTTTAGAAGCAGCAGGCTGACAAAAAAAATAAACTGGGAAGAGAAAAAATATACTGAAGTGTCAAACGAGAAGGCCCGAGGAAATGAAAAGTGCTGCTTCAGCACTATTGAGTCCAGGTGCTTCGGTATTTAAATTTCCCTGAGATGTGCTGGCCAGATAGGCCGATATGCAGAGATTTCCTCCTCAGCTGTCAGCTTTTTATCATCGCTCACCTCATTAACCATAGGCACAGAAACACATCCATAAATTGGTCTCCACTATCCATTGATATCGGAGAAAGGTGGACTTAGAATGTCCACACATGCTCAGCCAGTGCATAGCCAGCAGCCATTAAAGGCGAGGTGAGCGTCTATATTGAAGTTTATCTGTAATAGGAAACCTTTAAAGCCGTAATATGAGGTTGACCTTCGCCTTTAAGGGTCGATCTCCCTGCTGCTCAGGCTTTATTATTGTAAATGGATTGTTCAGGCTCGTGCCAAGCTCGGAGATTTACTACCTTCATTGAGGAAAATCCTTCTGTGAATTAGGAATGGCTATGTTTACAAGTTTTGCTTCGCAGTCACCGAGGGGTGCTTGGATAATCTAGTTTTCCCACAATCCCTCAAATAAACGTCTGTTAAAGAGAGCCGCTGCCTTCTTCTGTTGCAGCCAGGTGTAATTTGAGATCATTTTTGGAGTAGATGTATATTTTTGGTTCTTTACAACTTATAGTAATTGCTGAAGGATGTGATTCTGATGAAGTGCTACTTTGACATAAAATTTATCCTCAGAGCAAAGATGCACAGACAGACAGACGAGACAATTTAGAAGGAGCCTGATTTACAAATGCATGAGCATCAGAAATGACAATAACATTGCAACATGGACACTTCTACTCAAAGTTAGATGATTTCAGTATATTTTTAATATAATTTGTATGATTTTACACACACACAACCTTAAATTCCCGAATGATGTCAGGAAAATTTTTATTAGTGTCTCAAAATGGTTTGCACAAATTTTGTCAAATAAAATTGCAAACTTCTATGTATCTAATCAGCGTTTTGTTTGATAAAATGTTTCCTGACACCATGATGCTGCCACCACTCTATTTTACTGTGTGATTTTCAGGATAGAAATTTTCTGTCAATCACAGCATTTTGCACAAAACATAGAATTTTGGTGAAATCTAACCGCAGCGTTACTCTGTCAAACTGAAAAGCTTTCTTATAATTATGGCTTACCAACCGTCACTTTTCCATAAAGATCCAAAATTGTTTTTTTAATTAAATGCTTGTTAGATTTTATTTAGGTGTATCAGAGTAAAATGATCTAAAGAGAAATGCATGTTACATTTTTTAGGTTGTATTTGTTTAAAAAAAAATGAAAGTTGTGTCAGATTTATGTTCTTAATTCTCCACTTTGTGTTGGGCCAGCACATGGAATTACAGCAAAATACATTGAAATTCGCTGTTGTATTGTGACTAAATTGGGAAAGTTCAAGAAGTATGACTAATTTTGCAAGGTGCTGTACAAAAACAAACATAGGCTGTCTTTGCCTTTGGTAAGTAAGTGGGTGGTTTTTTTTTTTTTTTTTTTTTTTTGCTTCCTGATATAATCCATGTTGACTGGTGCTCTGCTGCACTTAGATTCCTGGACTTTCCTCTTTTATCAGACTCAGATGTTGCAGAAGACTCGAGGCTTGTTTCTGTTTCAAACTTAGAGTAAACAACTAATTTTGCATGCAAGTGGACATGCAGATTACATTTTCACTGCATTCCTATTTGTCTTTTGTCCAGATTGAACATTGCATATTTAGATTTTGCAAGTCTAAAGCAGATGCATCTACTTCTTGTCTACTGACAGAGGCTATGCCACGGTGTGCGTGTGTGTGTGTGTCATGTTGGTGGGATTTCCCCCGAGCCCTTTGCTATGCAGGCCAGCTTCTTCATTCATTGTGCTTTGACAGCTCAGCGGCACCCCTCGGGGTCCTCTCACCACACACAGAACAGCAGGATCGTCTGTGTGTGTGTGTGTGCGTGTGTGCGTGGTTTTGCTACACCCATCATGACTAAACACAGCGAGCCTAAACACCAACTACAAAAATGCAAAAGGAAGGTCCAGGAGCCATGACTTTGACCTGGGTGGAATGTCACCATCAACTTAATGCTAATGAGAAACGTTTTTTTTCTCACTGAAGAATATATATATATATATATA